ATCTATCTGCCCCTGCCCCCCCCCCCCCCCGTTCAATTTTAGGACAGTTGTGGCCCGCAAGTCAAAAAGCTTGCCCACGCCTGATCTAGTACTAACCCATTTACACTGCTTTTTAGGTTTTTAGGTCATAAACTTTATGACCTTACACCGGGGGTGTCAAACTCAATCACTCACGCGGCCGAAATTGAAAACACTGTCTAAGTTGTGGCCGATTAACAAGATTAACATTTATTTAACATTTTAGTGCTGACGGTGCTTTAACAGGAAAAAACTGAACAGACTGCAATTGTTTTCCCTCATTAATACAGTCAAAATATCAACATCAAGCAAAAAAAAAAAAAAAGATTATTGTTACACAAAAAGTAGGAAATGTCTGATTTCTAATCTAGTCAGAAAATTTGATGAGACAGTTGCACATGGGCAGAATTTGACCCTTACGTTAAACCCATTCAGTAAAAATTAGTATAGGCTCTACACCATAGGTGTTAAACTCAAGGCCCGGGGGCCAAATTTGGCCCGCCAAGTCATTTTGTGTGGCCCGCGGTAGCTTAAAAAGCATTTAGCAGAGGTGGGACCAAGTCATTGCTTTGCAAGTCACAAGCAAGTCTCAAGTCTTTGCACTCAAGTCCGAATCAAGTCTCAGGTCAAAATAGGCAAAGTCCGAGTCGGATCCAAGTCAAGACTGAAAAGTGTCAAGTCAAGTCCCAAGTCCTGCCGTTTCTGTTTCGAGTCCTTTCGAGTCCTTCCCCTCACTGCCACTCCTTTTTTGTTGACCATCTCGTAGTTTTTAAATCCGAACAACACGATCTTTGGTATCATTTTCTCTAACCCGCGCATTGTTCGACAGCTCTTTCTCATTGGTTGTCCCGCAATTTGATTGGCCAACGTTTTATTTGATTGGATGTTGTGCCGACAGCACATACGTACACAATGAGAGATACACAGCGCTCCTCAATAACTTACTTTATATATAATCTTTGGGTTTTGGAGAAAGTATCAAGTCTTGTCGAGTCAAAGGGCTCGAGTCCAAGTGAAGTCACGAGTCATTGATGTTAAAGTCCAAGTCGAGTTCCAAGTCTCTTTACATTTGGTCAAGTCGAGTCTAAAGTCATCAAATTGATGACTCGAGTCTGACTCGAGTCCAAGTCATGAGACTCGAGTCCACACCTCTGGCATTTAGTAAAGTCCATGTGGCACAGTTTTTTAACCTCAATAATCAATTGCAGACACATGTATTAGTCTGTCATGGAGTAGCTACATCTATACCAGTGGTCCCTGACCTTTTTTGTTCCAAGGACTGGTACTGGTCCGTGGACCGCGGGTTGGGGGACCCCTGATCCATACAGTCTACCATTCACAGTCGGCCCTTCAAGGTGAACTGTGTTGCTTATGCGCGAGTTTGACACCCCTGTTCTACACTAAAGACTTTATTTTCAGAGAACCATACGCATGTTGTGCTCTGTTGGGCCACATGAAATGACGTAGCGGTCCAGATTTGGCCCGTGAGCCTTGTATTTGTGTCATAAAGGCTCTTCTCAACTTTTGTTGTTTTCAGTACATTCTACGGCTCAAATCGATTTTAGGAACAGTCTCTATTTTGGATATGATGTAGTAAATATATGGTTTTCTGATAATCATTTGTTTCGGTTTATACCTCAACCGGTAGAAATACATGGTGCATCTATTAGAGTGTGGAAATAAGGGATGCGATGCAACACATTTTAACCGGTGTCCCTGTCACTTTTGTGATCGCACCAAAATGTTAAGGAACATCTAAATTAAAATAAACATCTACAACTATTATATCTTACCGTCCACTAAACTCACTTTTTAATCTGTTTATCGCGGCTCTAACACGAGCACAAAGTGACTCCTTTTACTTCTGTCTCGTACTGTAGATATTTCCGCATCTCTGTCCGTAACTGACGACAAATGGTTATCTACCCTGGAAAGCACACACTGGCTGGATTATACAAGGTAACGTTCCTGTCTGGTTGTATTCATATCATGTTTGTTGAATCGAATCATTTCTTCTTTCTCGATTTTAAAATTCCACCGCCTCTGTCTCCAGGTCCTGTTTAAGGAAAGCTTCAGAAGTAGCTTGTCTTCTTCGCGGCAGCCACTTGACTGTGGCACTGCAGGGTGAGTCGACTCTTCATTCATTCAACTTTATTACTGACTATTTAGTAGTAGTAATTTTAGAAAAGGGTTTGTTTTTTTTTTTAACTACCAAAGAAATTAGCAGCAAATGTCACCGGTTTTTGAATAGACTCTTGTCATCGAGGGTTAAGAGGAAGACTTACAAAAGGGATTCTCAATAAGCAAATATAGATTTTCTTCTCTGTCTCTGTCTCTCTTTTCAAAACCTGCCAAAATCTCTGTCAGCAGAGAGACAGTTCGGTGGAGTGCTCACAGCTAAAACACAATTTTATTTTTTTTTATATATAATACAAAAATTGGATATATAACCAGTATAAGCAAGCCTTGTCTTTTTTGGCTTGAAAAAAAAATTTTACTTCTAAATTCATGCAATATATGTATAATATATGTATTTAACCCCATGACATACCACTGACCATGGGAAAAAAAATCTTGCGTCATTTAATCTATTAAATTACATTTACGCATTTAGCTTTCACCAAAGCTAACCCCTCAAGCATGTGGTTCCTCCGGGAGTCGAACCCAGGACTCTCTGCTTCCGAGGCAGGCGTGCTAACCGCTGCATATGGTAGCGCATGGAACCACATTTGCCTCTCGTTTGGTAGTAACTACTGATGTAAATAAATAATTCAATAATAATATTTAAATAATAATAATAAATAACAATATATATTTTCATATATATCAACATTATACTTTCTCTGTTTTGGTCGTTACAGAAGCTGAGGACCGGGACATGAGCTGCGTGGTGTCCAGTCTGGTTCAAGTGATGTGTGATCCTTACTGCCGAACCCAGCATGGTTTCCAGAGCCTGGTGCAGAAGGATTGGGTGATGGCTGGTCACCGCTTCTACAGCCGTATGAACTACCACCGTGATAACGACAAAGAAGAGGTGAGACGTCAAACTTGACAATTTATCATTTTTTCTCTGCTAGTCAAAGCATTAAAAGCAGAAAAACGAAACACTCTTCTGCTATGAAAACTAAACAAAAGACAATCACAGCTGTTGAAGAAGATCTTTGTGAGTCTCTTTCTTCAATTCCTGCCAGTATATCGGCGTTGTCTTCAACTAAACAGGCTGAGATTTTAGTCAATCGTGAGATCGTTTAAACTGGAAGATTAATATATTCCATATACTTTTTGTGAGATTTTTGTTTGGTGGTGCGCCGTGGGGTTTTCCTGATGATATATTTGTGCCGTGGCTCAAAAAAGGTTGGAAAACGCTGGTCTAGACTAGGGATGTCCGATATGAACTTTTTGCCGATATTGTCCAAACACATAGCCCTTTGATGCATGACCCATGATATACTGAGTTAAAAAAAATGTTACTAAGTGTTTTTATGTGTTTTTAGACATAAAAATAAGAACTGATTTGGTTCTGTTTTTATACACCAAATTTTCTTTTTGAATGTTGACACAATTACTCTGCAGTTGCAAAGGCTGACCACTGTATGGCAGTGTTGGGTGATTCTCAGGCATCCACTGTAGAGGCTTATATGCACTGCACTGCCATCAAAACCTATTCTTATCATAGAAAATGACATTTTAATAGCTGTCCACTGTAGGGACCGTCATGCATGAAAGGGTTAAATTCCGGGTTTGAAAAGAACCTCCCGTCAGTAAAAGTCCTTAAAAACATCCTTCAGATTCAGAAAACCTTAAGAATAATGCTTGTTTTCTCTCTGCAGTACGTTGTGCACACGTTTCGCATCTATTTATTTGTTATGCTGCACAACGACACCAAGTCAAGAATTGATTTTTTTTTATTATTATCTATACATTTTATTGTATTTTCAAGTATACAACGGGGCCCCGAGATACGAGTTTAATCCGTTGCAACAACAGCATTTGTGTGTCGATCCAATCGTATCTTTTTTTTAAATACCATTTCTATCTATAGGAAAACGAGGTCAAACGAATTGATTGCTTTCAAAGTCTGAAATGAATTTGATTCAATTTCACTAAAATAATCACTAGGCTAGATTTGTTTTCAATGACTTTCGAAGCTGTTCTCATTTTTTCATAATTTTTTTTTTAAATTGTCCTTACTCGTTATTCTGATCTCTTTCCTGCAGGCTCCGGTCTTTCTTCTCTTTTTGCACTGCGTGTGGCAGCTGTGGTCTCAATATCCCTCTCGCTTCCAGCTGACGGAGGACTTCCTGTTAGCCTTGCATGACAGTATCCACCTGCCCCTTTTTTCCAGCTTCTTGGCAAACTGTCAGAGAGAACGATGCAAGCGCTCCCAGGTACAGTGTTTGGACACTTTTAATTACCCCGAGACATGTTGAGACATACTAATCTCACTCCGTCGTATAATCAAATCACCTACCGCATTCCAGAACCAGGGGCAGTCCTACACACCTGTCAAAGGATGGAGAGATGAACTCCCTCAAGATCCGTCCGCAGACCTATGTGACCCTCCTCTGCCCCCCGTGTGGGACTGGGCCCTGCAATACAGTAAACACAGACAAGAGAGCTTTACCCAACCGGTCGCCACAACAACCGTGCACCAGCCATTGCTCAATGGAAATCTTAATATTAAAAAGGACCAACACAAGGTAGGCCTGGTTTATTGTTTTGCGTTCTTAACAGGTGTGGTTCGATCTCATACTTCAGATCAGTATCAGTCTGTCCCATAGGCTACAAGGAGCAGAGGTGAAGGTGAAGGTGAAGGTTGCAGGAGTTTAGGTACTTAGGATCAACTGTCCAGAGCAGAGGAGACTGTGGAAGAGAGGTGAAGACTAGAGTCCAGGTCAGGACGGAACAGCTGGAGAAAAGTGTCAGGAGTGGAGTAGAAAAGGGGCAGGAGTTGAGTCTGGGACAGAAGAGTGTCAGCTAAGGTGAAGGGAAAGGGTTACAGGACGGTGGTGAGACCAGCAGAAGACAGGAGACGGAGCTGGAGGTGGCGTGGAGTTAAAGATGCTAAGATTCTCTCTAGGAGGGACAAGAATGGACAGGATCAGGAATGAGGTCATTAGAGGGACAAGACAGACAGGAAGGTTTGGAGAAAAGAGCTAGAGAAGCCAGATTGAGATGAGTTTGGACATGTGCAGAGGAGGGACAGTGGATACATTGGTGGAAGAATGTTAGAGATGGAGCTACAAAGAGGAGATATATGGATGCAGTGAGGGAGGACATGCAGCTAGTTGGAGTCAGAGTAGAAGATACAGAGAACAGGGAGAGATGGAAATCAATGATTCGCTGTGGCAACCCCTGGAAAAAAAAAAAAAAAGGGACAAAGCCGAAAGAAAAAGAAGAAGAAGATTGATATCGGTATTGGCAGATACTCCCTAGTTGCAGTATCAGTATCGAGCCATCTAAAAGTTGTGTTTTTTTTTTTTTTGTTTTTTTTTTTTCCTTTTGCCTGTGTGCTTAGCAATCTCTACCTCTGACACGGAAGGGAAATTTACACAAGAACACATCGACAAGCCGTCCGTTGTTGACAAAATGCGCTCTTTGGTGACATATTTGAACGATTTGTTGATCCGGATTTTGACGTTACGGTCAGATTAAGTGGATGTTCTTTAATGCCACGACAAGTTCACATTTCTTCCAAATCACCAGATTGTACATAAATGATACACAAGTCGCCAAATGGGTCACTAAAAGATTTAGTGAACGCCGTAACGTCGTATTGTACGTCCTTGTTTTCGGTGCAACTAAACCTGTGTTCCCGCCTCTCTCTCTCTCTCTCTCTCTCTCTCTCTTTAACAGCTGACTGAAACCATACCTGGTTCAGTCTTTCTCTTTTCTCGAGGAACATTCTCCTGTCCGCCTAACTTGCTTCCCTGGCGCACCAGCAGTTCGGGAGTCTACAAAAAGAGCCACCGGAGGGCACTGTCGTCTGAGGGCATGCCTGGATTGGAGAAGTTGCTGAAAGCCTGGGCCTTGGCTGATTTTCCTCAGAGCCTCTCGTGCAACTCGGAACCTCGAAGACCATGTGACCCGTCCGAGCCCTTACTGCCTCTGCTTTTAGGGCCCTGCATGGGACTTTGGAGGGAGTGCTTCCTCCGAGGGGCGCTCCATGCTCAGGTACGTAGGAAGTTTGAAGATTCACGAGGAGCAATTCGTACGCTTTATGGTAGCAAACACCACGTGCAAGGTTTGGTTGGGTTTATCGGGCCGTGTCAACGGCAGGACTTCAGTTATGTTGGTGATTTGATTGGAAGGGGTCGAAGAACCAGAGGTGGGACCAAGTCGTTGCTTTGCAAGTCACAAGCAAGTCTCAAGTCTTTGCACTCAAGTCCGAGTCAAGTCTCAAGTCAAAATAGGCAAAGTCCGAGTCGAGTCCGAGTCAAGACTGAAAAGCGTCAAGTCAAGTCCCATGTCCTGCCGTTTCTGTTTCGAGTCCCTTTCGAGTCCTTCCACTCACTGCCGCTCGTTTTTTTTGTTGACCATCTCGTAGTTTTTAAATCCGAACAACACGATCTTTGGTCTCATTTTCTCTAACCCGCGCACAGCTCTTTCTCATCGGTTGTCCCGCAATTTGATTGGCTCGATATTATCGCGTCAAAACAACGTGGGTCTAATTTGATTGGATGTTGTGCCCGACAGCACACACGTACACGATGAGAGATACACAACGCTCCTCAATAACTTACTTATAATCTTTGGGTTTTGGAGAAAGTATCGAGTCTTGTCGAGTCAAAGGGCTCGAGTCCAAGTGAAGTCACGAGTCATTGATGTTGAAAGTCCAAGTCGAGTTCCAAGTCTCTTTACATTTGGTCAAGTCGAGTCTGAAGTCATCAAATTGATGACTCGAGTCTGACTCGAGTCCAAGTCATGAGACTCGAGTCCATTTGTTGCCTTGGTAACGGTGTTATCATGGCTCCACGAGTTAGTCTAGGATGTAACGACTCATTATGTTACATAATATAATATAGTTGAAAAACTGTTTACTTTACTTTTCCTGGTTAGTTTGCGATATGTAACGTGTAATTGTATGTAAGTTCGACTTAGGGTGAAATTTCAAGTCATGTCACTGTTATGAACCAAAAGTTGAATCCAGGCTTAAAACACTCTAACCATGTTTTGTTTTTTTTTCCCCCATCCATAGGCTTTCTCACACCCCATTTCTGCCAACCACCCCCACCCTGTGGAGCGATTAGCAAAGGAGGTACGGCATCTGAAACACCAGCTGGCCAAGTTTGCCTCCGGCACGGACACCAAACCTCCCGTAAAGTCGAGCGAGCAGCGGCCAACAGACACCAACTCAAACCAAAACGCCAACAACAGCACTTTCCTGTTCTCAGCTTCAAGACCTCACGGCACTTGCGCACTCAGACCGGTACCTGCTCCTACAGCCACCCACCCCCAGACCTCCAGGGGTTGTCCGCCAGCCACCGCTCCGACTTCCAGGCCCAGTGACAGGGACAGCAGTGTCAGCAAGCACACCTTTCTGTTTGGGCGTTCGTCATCAGCAGAGGCTTGTCCTGGCCAAAGGCACTATCCCACAAAGGTACACAAAGGCAGTGGCTCCGCAGCTTCATGAATTCTGACCTTGGACATACACGTACTGATAAACATGAGCACTGGTCAAAGCCTCTGAGACGATATATATATACAGTGTCAAATCTGATGTGAACCATAAACGCAGCAGAAAGGGAAACGTGTAGAGTAGAAACGAGAACTACCGTAATTTCCGGAACTATTGAGCGCACCTGAATATAAACCACACCCACTAAATTTAAAAAGAAAAAAAATGATTGTACGTATATAGGCGGCACTTCTCTATAAACTGCAGGTGTTCCTATTTTAACTTTTTTTTTTTTCACTTTTAATTAAATAAATGCTTTTTTTCCGAACAGTGCCTGTAACACGGCTGGTTACACGTTACGCTCTTTCCTGCTTCGGCGCCCCGACCGTAGTTGGAATGCACAGGGGAGACTTAAGTGATCTGCTCCAGGGCCGAAGCTAACGTTAGCTCCGGGGCTAACACACTTCACTTTCTGCTTGTCCGCAGCAGAGGTAAACAGAAACAGGGAAGTTTCTGGAAGTCTTTATTATTAGCCACACCGAGCACAACAGAACATTAACAGCGTTTTAACCAACTCACGCTTCAACACGACGGGGCTCAAACTGCTCTAAACTTTCGCTACCGTTCTCTCTCTCTTGCGCGCGCACATATACGCACCCCGCCATTCGCAGACAGACATACGCTACTAGCATAACACACAGTAGCCTACCAAGTCATTGACCGCTAGCAGCATGAACTTCGTTAGCCCGTAAAAATCCATAAATTAGTCGCATCATTGTTTAGGCCGCAGAGTTCAAAGCTAATAGTCCAGAAATTACGCTAAGAGAATATTTGTTGGAATAATTCCTTTGTACAGTTTTTGGAGGTGTGGCAGCAGTCAGAGGTCAAACTGAGCTCACCTGCATCAGGTTCCACACCAGCAGCACCACTCTGATGCTCTCCCTAAGGAGTTGAGCGCTGTCTTCGGCAACACCTCCACGAACATTTCGGAGCGGAGCGATGTTTTCAACGGTAACACATAAAAAAGATCAGAGCTCGAAACGTAGTCACGATTTAAAAAAAAAAAACACCTTCTGTGTTACCGCCAACGTTGCTGCCGTTTCACTGTATTGCTGCTTCGGCCTGTACTGAAAAGGAAAGGTAGTATTTCATAAAACGTACAAAGTGCAGCTGTAAAAAAAAAAAAAA